CACCCCCACTGTCACCACTCCCACCATGGGCCTCATGATCTCCTACATCCTCGACTCCCTCAACTTCAAGTTCGGCGCCTTAGTCAGAGTCTGGCTTTCTCTCCTCTTCTCCCAGATCGCCTTCTTCATCTCTTCCTTCTCTTCTCTCTCCTCCTCCTTCAACTCCCTCCCTCTCTCCTTCCTCGCCGCCATTTCTACCGTCAGCTTCTCCGTCACCTCCTCCTACTACCTCATGGCCTTTAATTGCCTCTTCTACTGGCTCTAGTCCATCCCCAGACTTTCCTCCTTCAAGACCAACCACGCGCAAGCCAAGTTTCATGGTGGCCAGGCTCCCTATGACCATTAGGGAAAAATTCATAATTGGCCACGATAGACAAAGGGAACTTGAGAAAGGGATGACTATATGGGAAAAATCATCATTTCATATTACATTACAAATTAAATGCCTCAGCGACTGACACGTCACATTTAACGTTCAAAATTTAGCAGAGGGCGCGGATAAGGGAGACGCATGCTAACATCAAATTGTTCAGGGGAAAATTTACTATTTTTAAAGTTTATGGAGAATTTTTGTAACACGCCAATAGTTCAGGGGACACAAGTGTAATTTGTCCAAACTCTTACATACCATTATTGTGTTTGATTCATTCTGAAAATAGATAGTTTATTAATTAAGGAGTCAAAACCCTATATTTCATTAACCAAGTAAACTTTTGATTTAGTTTTTCAGTTTAAAAAAAAACCCAAAAACATAAAGACACATACTCACAAACACAAATAACTCGATACTTATAGAAGTAATATACAGTGAAATGACAAAATACTTTGATACACAACTAAATAAAATTGAAATCATAATTGATCAATAATTAAAGAGATTATTCCAGTAAGGATTGTTGAGATTGAAGATTTCAAAAATTTATAAGAGAGCGATAAAGTTCAAATTTAGAGAAATGAAAGAGGAACAAAAATGGTAGGGGAGTATTGGAGGTAAGAGACTACAGTGAAATATATAATGAAGCAAAAAAGAAATAGAAGAAAAAATAAAGCACTGAAAAAGAAAAAAAAGGTAGACAATCATTTGTAAAATACAATAGTAGACAATAGAGTTAAAAAATTTATAAAAACTCATGAAGCGCTTTGGGGAAGGTGTAGAATTCGATGTTGTTATGAAACCCCCCGGTGCATAGTTCAGAGAGAAAACAATGGAAAAAGAATAAAAAATGAAGGCACCAATTTTGTGGAAAATCCCTCAAAAGGGAAAAGCGACAGGTTTTACATCTTATACTAATGAAATTTAATGGGGTTAGACAATTCCCTCTTTAAAGCAAGATGATCATTAACAAGTCAGCCAAAGAGTGGACTCGAACTGAAAGAGTTGAAGTAAGGGCCTCGCCAAATAGAAGGAATGAAACAGTGAAGTGTTTGAAACATAGATCTAATTATTTCCAACATTATATGGAAATTTCATCAATAACATAGAAAAGAATCAAAGGTGCAACCACAGATGCACAAGGCTTAGCCCCAGCATCCTGTCAGTACAAAGCTCTTGTTGGTTAAGATCTTTCACCATTATAGCATTCTTGCAACAGTCTGATTGTCGCTTAAGTATGTTGTTTGCAACGGTCTGAACTATAAAGTCTATCCTTTTGGATTGCAGCTTTCTCCTTTTACTCACTGTTATTTTGTAATTGTTAACACCTTTTGGGCTTAAATTTCAAGTTAAATTTGTGGTTTTTCCCTTCAGATTGAAGGTGTTTTCTTTTCACATAAAAACTAAATCGGTGTCTTGAACTTTTAGTGGGTTGATGTATTTTGCCTCACGGAATGTAGGAAGAGGAAGAGAACTTTATTTGCTACATTTGATTTGTTCGGTTGTTGAAATTATTGTACCGATGACTTTCTTCATCCTACTTATGTAAACTATAGAAACTCTTGTTTTGCAAACATTGTAGTGCATACATGGATTTCTTTATTCACAATATGATCAGCACAGTAAAGAATTTGGTTCAAGGTTGCATGGCTAATCCTTGCATTAAAGCTGATATTAGTTTTCCCGCTTTTTTTTCAACGATCATGTTTGAATGACTGCCCTTTGTGTCAATGATCCACTCTTTTTGACTGCCTTCTTTTGCAATGTTTCACTGTTTTTGACATCCTTCTGTAACACGTTCTTCCTTTCTTGCGGTCAGCTAGATATTGTCTTGTTTTGAAGCCCAGTGGTAGATTAGCCGGGCACCTATTATCTCTCTATTCTGTCATGGCTAGAAATTTAACTAGCAGGATTAGTAAGTCTCGCGTCTTGTATTTTCCGTCGTGTCTGTTGAAGTTTTTGTTTATATTGCAAATCAGTAGACTGCTGGCGTGAAATGAAACTCAGATAACCAGTAAAGCAGTGCTTTGTGGTGGTTATGTGGCAAAAATACTTGTTCCTGTGTCTGTTTGATATTGATGTTTTTCAATATGATCCTTTAAAATAGCTACTAGTTGGTACTCGGACTCAGAATTTTGGTGTCTGATACTAATAAGATACTTGGCATGTGCCGAACGTATATTGATGTTAAGATACTGTTACTTCTACTGGCAAGGAAACTATAGGTGTGTTTGGAATTCGTTTCAAAATGATTTTATTTTTTGTATGAAAATGAAAATGAAAATGTTTTTAATCTCAGACATAAATAATTTTTGAAAATGCGTTTATTAATTTTATTAAGAGATTGTTTTCAGTATAAACAAATTCATTAATGTCTCTCTCTCTCTCTCTACTTGAGAGAGGAGAAAACGAAAACAAAAAATGAAAAACGATTAAAAATCGTTTTTCATTTTTCTCTCATTTTACACTAAACCAAAAAATCATTTTCATTTCTTTTTTTTTTATCTTTAATTGTGCCAAACACCATTTTAGAATCGTTTTCATTTTTTTTTTCTCAAAAAACGTGAAAAATAAAAATAAGAACAATTCTAGGATGTGTTTGGAGTTGTTTTCGTTTTTATTTTTTGAGAAAGAAAAAATGAAAACGGGAGATAAACGGCGTTTGGCACAATTAAAGACAAAAAAAGAAATGAAAATGATTTTGTGATTTAGTGTAAAATGAAAGAGAAATGAAAAATGACTTTTAGTCATTTTTCATTTGTTGTTTCCATTTTCTCATCTCTCGAGTAGAGAGAGACATTAATGGAATTTTTATACTGAAAACAATCTCTTAAAAAAACTACCAAACACACTTTTAAAAATGATTTCTGTCTGTGATAGAAAACGTTTTCATTTCCATTTTCATACAAAAAAACAAAATCATTTTGAAACGAATTCCAAACGCACCTAAAGTTTTCAATCTCAGACATAAATCATTTTTGAAAATGCGTTTGGTAGTTTTATGAAGATATTGTTTTGAGTATAAGAAAACTCGTTAATGTCTCTCACTCTCTCTGTGCTCGAGAGAAGAGAAAACGGAAACAAAAAATGAAAAACGAAAAGTCATTTTTCATTTCTCTCCCATTTTACACTAAACTAAAAAATCATTTTAATTTCCGGTTTTTATCTTTAATTGTGCTAAACGCTATTTTAGAATCATTTTCATTTTTTCTTTTTCGAAAAACGTGAAAAAGAAAAATAAAAATAATTCCAAACACGACATATATACCTGATCCAACAATATTAACAAAAACCTATGATCACCTAACATTAATGTAGGTATTGAATACCAACTGTAATTGTACTAATCTGAAAAGGGAAAAAAAACAAAAAGCAAATCCACCTTATTAAAATTGACTAGTTTAGTACGACGATTCAAATTAGGGTGATTCTAATCATAATTATGAAACCTGAACTATGATTTATAATTTTAGGTTTAAATCATGATTCTGAAACCATGATTCAGAATTAGGGGTTTGAATAATCTTGAATCAAGAGGGGGATAGTTTTAGAATAATGAGTGATTTTGGTTTACAACATCACATCAGATTTCGAATCATAATTCAGAATCATTCAAACTAAACACTGATTCTGAATCATAATTCCGAATTACTGTAATTAAATACTAATTCTGAATCAGTATCTAGAATTATAATTTTGAATCAATCTACTAAACGCTAATATTAACATGTAAATCTAAATAGTACTAATCGTAACCGAATTTGCTATCAAAATAACGTATCTTGAGTACATGCATGATATTATTTTTTTATTATTATTTTGGTTATAAAACATGGAGCTTCGTTATTAAGAAAAAACATATAGATATATATATTGCATTTCTTCATTCAAAAAATTATAAGGAAAAAGGGATATTAAAGAAAACTCAGAGCTCACTTAATTTATTAATTTAAATTAAGATATAATTTTATGTAAAAATTTTTTATTATAAAAAAATTAAATATAATTATTTTTAAAAATTTTTTATTATAATAAAACACGAAATAAATAGAACTTTAAAATGTGTTACGCTTGTGGCAGTTCGAAAGCTGCAGTACTAACTCCAATAACGGCTGGGGGCACAATCCGTAAATAAATAAACGATACGAGGGTAATATCGGAAGTCCACAGTTCGTGTTGAGTTTACGCGTTCATGTTGTTTGTGCTGGCAATTTGCCAAAAAGCCAAACAAACAAACGCCTCGAGAGAGAGAGACAGAGACAGAGAGCGCGAACACAGACAAGAGAGGAGAGAGAAAGAGAAGAGAAGAGAAGAGAAGATAGAGAAACCCAAACCGCCGACGAGCAAAACCCGGCGAGAAAGCGAAGGAAACGGCGATAAACTAAGGGAAAATAGTCCAGGACCATCTTCCCTTTCGTTTCGGGACGATCTCGGCTTCGCCATTGTTGCCTCTTGCACCAGCATTTCGTTCTTCTTCCATATTTATATTTTTTTTCGTTCAGAAAACCAAATTCTCTCCAGAGTTCATTGGAAGCTCTCGGATTTAGAGCGAGAAACGGGAGCTCCGGTGAACTTTGGTGGACCCTAGCTTGGAGAAATCAGGATAAAGATTGGATCTTTTGCGGGAAAACCCTATGATTTCGTTGGCATTGGGTGGTGCTTGTTGCTGACGGAATCTAGGGTTTGAGGAGCTCAGCTTCCGATCTGAATCTGATAAATTATTGTTGAGCAATGGTATTGGCTGTGCCTGTTAATCGTTCTCATGTTTTCTTCGTCTCGAAGTTTTGAATTTTTCCGATTTATTTGTTCGTATTTTTTGTTGTAATATGTTTTCGTTATTCTTAGCTCAATGTAGGATCCGTGGTTCAAATTCGATTGATTTTCGGATTAGTTAGCAGAAATGAGGATTAAGTTCGTGGCTTTAATAAGCCAAGAAGTAATTGAAACTATTTAATCATGGTTTCTCGTTGGTTACGATTATTGTTGTCAACATTTTATCTGCTGTGAGATTTCAGAACCATGTAGTACTTAAAATTCAGATTCTTTTGCCTTTTTGGTCCCTGGATTTGTTTTAGTCTCTTTAATGCAACTGAGTGGTAAATAGTAGTTCCAAATGTACTCGTTTCTTTCTCTCTATAAAAAGCAGTGTTTGTTTCTCTTAAATTGAGGGATTTTATAAATTTTTTCATCTACATTTGCAACAGAAAGTTTGTTACTTAACAACGCAAACAACAGTGTTGCTTGTATTAGGTTGTAGTGTTGAATGCTAAACAGGAGTTTCATTGTTTTCATATCTGCTGTTTGGGTGGCATTTTCTTAATATTGATATATATATATATATATTTATACATTTATATACAACTCAATTAAATAATGTAGAGTCTGAGAACGTGAAGCCCATGAAAAAACCAAGTTCTGTTAGATACTTCTTATTCATTGTATCAATATATCATTCATGCCGTACATGTGGTTTTGATGGATGCCAACTCTCTCCATCGTGCTGATGGAGATGGAATCTACCCATACATACGTTATGATTACTAACAGTTTTTATTTTTGGCATGAATAAACGTGGCATGATTGTTTTTATTTGGATGTGCTGATGATCTTCTTGGTAATACAGGCTGCTCAAGTAAATTTTTCTGTTGGGTCTCATGTTTGGGTTGAGGATCCTGAGGTAGCTTGGATTGATGGAGAAGTTCTTGAAGCTAATGATGAAGAGATTAAAGTAGATTGCACCTCAGGGAAAACAGTGAGTGTTGTTTGAGCCTTTCATATAAGTTATTGCTTTGCATATGTGACCGGTTATGGTTAAGAAGCATCTGTTTCTATAAACTTGGTAGTTTTTCTATTCCTTAATTTGCTTGTAAATATTTAATACTCTAAAAAATAGTTGAATTTAGTTTGGAAGATGTTGTGATCTACGTTTTTCTAGAAGAGGTCGACATTTGAATTAACATCAAGGGTTCCTTCACCTATTAAGGTTTTCTTTCCACTTTAGTTTTTTTCTACAAAGGAAAAGGAAGACTCTCTACACCACTTGAGTGGACTAAGAACTTTTTGATGCAAGTTTTATTGCTAATAAATGAAGAAGAAATTTCCTATTTGTGGCGACTTTCACTTTGTCTAGTATGTGGTCGAAAGAGCAAGTTTGATACTGTGCTATGCGTTTGGATAAGAAATCTTGTTTCTTAATTAAAAAAATATTTCAACCGAGGTGTGTAGGCTACTCACATCTTTTTTATTTGCATCATTTTCATTTACTTTGACCATATATTATATAGTCGAAATTAACAAGTGAAAAATCATGGGGATGGAGGATGGAGAGTAGGAAGGATGGAGAGAATTGGAGGGATGGAGGGTAGGAAGGATGGGGAGGATTATAGTAATCCTTCATGTTGTTTGGTATGAGTGAGGGAGAGTTGAAAGGATGGATGATAATTGTTTGTCCAATTACTATATTGTCCATTTCATTTATTTGATAATAATTTCTTTTAAGGATAAAATAGACTTTTAGTTCTAAAATTGGATGGATTGGTTGGATCCTAACATTAAGAGTGTGTTTGGTATGATGGAAAAGTGGAAGGAAGGAAGTAGGTAGAGGGATTATTGGATGGAAAATGATAGAGTTGGTTGTTTGGTAAGATGGAAGAGAGGAGAGAAAGGAAAATAGGATGGAAAAGAATTATGGTGGGGCCACTATTTTTTATCTCTCCAACATTGGAAGGAAAATTCAAATCCACTCATTGATGGCTAAATTTACTTTTGTATCCCTATTTTAAAATCTAAATTAATATTAAACAATTAATAAAATAGTCATTTAGGCTATTACATGTTTTCTTTCCTCTCATTATACCAACACTATGAAGGAAAATCAACTTCATTCCTTTCCTTCACATTTTCTTTCTTTTATGTGTTTTCTTTCCATTCTCTTTTCTTTCCCTCCTACCAAACGGAGTGTAATGGAAGGATCCAAATTGGTGGGCCCAGAGGGAGACTCTCTCCCTCCATGCCTCCTCTCCCTCCTCTCATCCATCCAACCAAACAAGGGAATTGTTCTCTCCCTCCACCCCTCTCCCTCCCTCCATCTCTCCCTCCTCCAAACACACTCTTAGAGTGACCATCCTAAAAAAAAAAGGATGTAATGGTACATTTTGTTGTAGGTTGTCGCCAAAATATCCAATGTCTATCCCAAAGATCCGGAATTTCCTCCATGTGGTGTGGATGATATGACAAGACTGGCTTATCTACATGAACCAGGGGTTCTGCACAATTTAAAATGTCGATATGACATAAGCGAAATATATGTGAGTACTACGATTCTCGTCCCTCCACTTCACTTTGCTAATTGTTGTAGATTCATTTTGAGCTGGAAATTTATTTTATGAAGGTAACAAGTCACAATCTTTCATAAAATTTCATGTCTTGCTTTGCCTCTAATTGGCGGTTGTGACGCATGTGTAAATGCATTCATTTGCTGTATGTACTGAATTCCATAGCTGTTAGTTTTAGGTGTATTAACATTGTTCCATATTAAGCTAAATTCCCTAATGTTGTTTCCAGACTTACACAGGAAATATACTGATAGCTGTAAATCCTTTTCGAAGGCTACCTCATTTATATGATAATCACATGATGGAACAGTATAAAAGGGCTGCTTTTGGTGAGCTGAGCCCACATCCTTTTGCTATTGCTGATTATGCATACAGGTAATCTCTTCAATTTTGTTGCCAGTTTCACATTGACGAGTTTAATACTTTAATTGTCCCTGATGAATGAAACAAAACGCAGACTGATGGTTAATGAAGGAATTAGCCAGTCAATTTTAGTTAGTGGAGAAAGTGGAGCTGGTAAAACGGAGAGTACAAAGATGCTTATGCGTTATCTTGCTTATATGGGAGGAAGGGCAGCAACTGATGGGCGTTCGGTGGAACAACAAGTCCTAGAGGTAAAAATTCTATACTGACTTGGCCAAATGGGTGATACACATAATCCTTCTAATGTTAGTGAGTGCCTCTGATGTTGCACTTTGTAAAATAATTTGTTTTCTTCTTTTTCTTTGGGCAGTCTAATCCCATTCTTGAAGCATTTGGTAATGCAAAGACTGTCAGGAACAACAATTCTAGGTTGGAACCTTTATTTCTTCTTTTCTTTTTACTAAATACGGGGTGGGAAACTTATATTTGAAACTGTTTGACTTTTCGATTGTGTTAACTTCTCTCCTGAATTGATGGTTATACAATTGCAGTCGATTTGGTAAGTTTGTGGAGCTTCAGTTTGACGCTAGGGGGAGAATCTCAGGAGCTGCCATTAGAACTTATTTACTGGAACGATCTCGTGTTTGTCAAGTATCTGATCCTGAAAGAAATTATCATTGCTTTTACATGCTTTGTGCTGCACCACCAGAGGTAAGCTGGTACCATTTTTGCATGCAAAATGTTATTTGTAGAAGTAATTGGGTTGTCCTGCTATGTCTATGCAATTAATGTTTAGTCGTCCATTCTTCTTTGGGCTATAATTTTGACTAAGAGACAGTCCTATGATTTCTATGCAATATTGTGCCCAAGATTGCATCAACTTATTTGTTATGTTGCCCTAGCCTAAATTAGCTATTAGCTCTTTACGGAGGGCACAATCCTCAAAGGCCCAACATGCGGTGAGAAATTTAATAGCAAAAACAGCTTATTTAATGCTGGTTGTATAATGGTCAAATAAATGCTCTCTTGCGTTTGCTGGTCGATACTATTATTGCAGCTCAAATGCTCCTTTTCTTGTCTTCATGCCAAATTGATTTCCAGGCTAACCTCTATTTTTATCTTGCCCAATGTTAGGATGTCGAGCGATACAAATTGGGAAACCTGAGAAAATTCCATTATTTAAATCAATCAAATTGCTATGAACTGGATGGAGTTGATGATTCCAAGGAGTACGTTGCGACTAGGAAAGCTATGGACATTGTTGGGATTGGCTCTGATGAGCAGGTTGCGTTTTTGGATATATAAGTAGGAAATATTGTTGCTAAAGGTCTCTAATATGAGTTCTGTTTTCAGGAAGCAATATTTCGAGTTGTGGCGGCAATACTCCACTTAGGGAACATTGAATTCACTAAGGGGACTGAAACTGATTCATCTGAACCTAAGGACAAGAAATCTCGCTTCCATCTTAAAACAGCAGCTGAACTTTTCATGTATGATATTATTCTATACTACTTTAAGAAGGTGCATGTCTGGTATTGATTATAAAGTGATGAAAGGCTAACCCTTGATTTTACCTATTTGTTAGGTGTGATGAGAAGTCTCTGGAAGACTCTTTATGCAAACGTGTGATTCTGACCCGTGATGAGACAATAACAAAATGTCTGGATCCTGACTCAGCCACTGTCAGTAGAGATGCTTTAGCCAAAATTGTTTATTCAAGATTGTTTGACTGGTAAGACAGTATATTAAGTTTGTAAATAAGGATATGTCTTATAAGATACGTTTATTATTATTGTTCGTTAATGCTGTGAACTCTTACTGCCTCAGGATTGTCAACAAGATCAATAACTCTATTGGTCAAGATCCTGATTCAAAGCACTTGATTGGGGTTCTAGATATTTACGGATTCGAAAGTTTCAAGACAAACAGGTGCTTAACTGGTATGCCTTTTGTTTTCATTGTTTAGAAAGGTTAATCTATTAAAAAGGACTGCAATAAATCAGTGTCCATGCGGTATTAGGAGTTTTTGTTTTGTGGTGTAAGGCCATTGATTCCTTATATTTGTCTAATGGCGTCTATACTATTAGGTTATGGAAGATAATTATAGTTAGATTTAGGAGTAATTTGAAAGGAAAGGAAATAAAATTTAGGGATTCTGTTCTTGTGTTTACTAAAATTATTAGGAATCAGAACAAGAAAGAATTTAACTCCATTCCAATGTTTACCAAGTTAAGGAATAGGAAGCAAAATGGCTCTAATTACAAAAATGCCCAGGTACTTATTTATGTTTCAACTCTTTTGTGAAGGGTATAATGGTAACTAAAAAGGATGTTAGGAAATTGAACCTAATTTCATACTCATTCCTTAATGAGTACCAGTTTGTTCCTGATTTCATTCCTCAAAAGGAATTAAATTTCTGATGTGTAATTTAACACAAGAATTTGGAGCCATTTTATTCAATCCCTTTACCGATTGGTAAAAACACCAGTAGTGTTGACGCTCTTGATACTGCTAGGTGGTTTCACTTGGTTCAAATAAGTCATTATAGAGAAAATGTTATTGTGAGATCTTCTTATTACTTGTTTTTTGGTTTGCTCTTGATGAAAATGCAGTCTTCTAATGGAGGAAATCTTTAGTTTGACATTGCACCTTTCTCCTTTGTTTTTCCAGTGGAAGAAATTTCCTTTTTGTTCTAGGAAGTCCTTGATAAGATCCCAGATCTTATTTCTCAGCTTTTAGTGGCGGTTTTTGTTATATTCTTGGGTTTTACTCTGTTGGTGTGCTTAACATTTGTGGATTGTTAACTTGCTCTGCAGCTTTGAACAATTCTGTATCAATTTGACAAATGAAAAACTACAGCAGCATTTCAATCAGGTCTGAGAAGATCTGTTGCATTCATTTGTCTTTCTGGATTCCACCCGCTTCTGTTCTAACCTAGATTCATTTGACAGCATGTTTTCAAGATGGAGCAAGAAGAATATACAAAAGAAGAAATTGACTGGAGTTATATAGAGTTCATCGATAATCAGGACATTCTTGATCTAATTGAAAAGGTAGGTCATTTTTTCCAATTTATTTTATATACATCGTGGTTTGTCTTTCCTGTGTTAAAATCAAGTGAATATTTTCTAAGTATTTTCCTTAAGATTTCATTTTTATTATGTAAACTTTGCTGCACCTTTTGAATCGTCACTAAGATTTAAATTTTCTTGATGTTGTACCCTTATCCTTTTAGTTTATTAATATTTTGAATGTTAATGTAGTTTCTTCTGGCAACTTATTACCTTAACATAAATAAAACTGGCAAAGATTTTCTTCGAAATTTTTATGTATGTGTTTGTCTATATATATCTTTATGTTCAATATTGCATGGAATTTCATCTTTCAGCAAATCGTAATTGACTTTTCCTCCCCATTTTGTGCTTTCGTATTCTTTAAAAATAGTTTTTTTTTTTTTTTTTTTTTTTTTTTTTTTTTTTCCCCCCCTTTTGTGTTTTTTTTTTTTTTTAAAAATTTTTTTTTTTTTTTTTTTTTTTTTTTTTTTTTTTTTCTATAAAAAAATGATTGCTTGTTAAATATCGATATTGGAGGTTGTATTGATTCTTTGAATGAGAGAGTTAGACTTTTAATCATGTATTGTTGCTCTAATTTGTGTTGGATACACCTTTATAAATGCAGAAGCCGGGAGGAATCGTTGCTCTCCTGGATGAGGCATGGTATGTCCTCAAATATAAAACATTACTGGAATAATTTTCATCATTTCTTTGAGATACTCTGCAATTAGCTAATTTAATATTTGATATATAATTTTACAAAAGATATTCCATTTTACTTGGTGAGATGGTGACACAAGCCTTAATAATTTTTTTGTAGCATGTTTCCAAGGTCAACAAATGAGACTTTTGCTCAGAAGCTTTATCAAACGTTTAAGGACCATAAACGATTTAGCAAGCCAAAGTTGGCACGCAGTGACTTCACAATTTGTCATTATGCTGGTGAAGTAAGTTTGAATTCCATATATGCTTATAGATTATTTTAGTGTTCCAGGATCATTGAATCTAATTCGATACAGAAGAATACAAACAATTGCAAAGCTATATATTTCAAGGGGAACATTTTTATTTTCAGGTCACTTATCAAACAGAACTCTTTCTTGATAAGAACAAAGATTATGTTGTTGCGGAGCATCAGGATCTCTTGAGTGCGTCCAAGTGTTCTTTTGTTTCAGGCTTGTTCCCTCCTTTACCAGAAGAATCTTCCAAATCATCAAAATTCTCTTCAATAGGTTCTCGATTTAAGGTCTGGTTTTCTTCTAAATTAAGTATATGCTCTGGGAAAATTGTTCAGTTCCTGTTTTCAGTTTCATTTTTCGCTTGCTTTGTACAGCAACAATTGCAAGCTTTGCTCGAAACACTAAGTGTCACTGAGCCACACTACATACGTTGTGTGAAGCCAAATAATCTGCTGAAGCCTGCTATATTTGAGAATAATAACATTTTGCAGCAGCTTCGTTGCGGGGTAAGTTTTTTCAATTTGGTCTTCCTATTTGAATATGATTTTGGTCTGTTATGTGCATAATGACATTCTACATCTAGGCCTGCTGGAAAGTCTAATTTCGAACAGAGCTGCGTGAAAAAGTGAAATCCATATAGCCGACCCCAATTAAGTTGGGATTAAGGTTTGTTGTTGTTGTTGTTGTTATATGTGCATAATGGATTTGGAAAATACCTAATTTCAGGGAGTCATGGAGGCAATCAGGATCAGTTGCGCTGGATATCCCACAAGAAAGCCATTCAATGAATTTGCTAGTCGTTTTGGTATCTTGGCACCGAATGTCTTGAATTGGAGGTTTGTTCATCAAACTTCAAAACAATAATGAAGCTTTGTGCGTGATTTATCACACACACGCTTGTGTATTTGGTTTTGGTTTTGTTTTCTTTTCAATCTATCGTTCTATGAATTACGGGCAGTGATTAATTTTTTTTTCTTGATGTTAATATAATGTATATTAACATTCTTTTGTCGTTCCATTGTAGTTGTGATGAGGTCACTGCTTGTAATCAGATTCTAGAGAAGGTGAACCTCGAGGGTTATCAGGCATGGCTTCTTTCTAGTTTGGAAATTAACCCAATCCTATTGTTCTCTGTTATAGGATTTAAAGCAAAAATCTTTTTGGCTTGTTTCCATGGCAGATTGGCAAAACCAAAGTGTTTCTCAGAGCAGGTCAGATGGCAGAATTAGATGCTTGCCGAAGTGAGGTCTTAGGAAAATCTGCAAGCATCATCCAGAGAAAAGTTCGATCTTATCTTGCTCGCAATAACTTTGTCTTGTTACGGCTGTCTGCTATAAAAATTCAAGCCTCATGTAGAGGTATCAAATGGTTTCTACTAGTTTATCTTGTAGTCCATGAAAATTATGCCTGTTGATAGAGGATTGTGCAAACTTAATGTTTTTCCTGTATCTTAATTGCAGGACAAGTTGCACGCTATCATTACGAATGCATGAGAAGGGAGGCTGCATCTGTGAAAATCCAGAAACATTACCTTATGTATCTTGCTAGGAATGCCTACCAAAAGGTATACTCCTCAGCTGTTCTTTTTCAGACATGCATGCGCGGGATGGATGCTCGTAATGAGCTGAAATTCAGGAAGCGGACAAGAGCTGCTATTATTGTTCAGGTAAATGATAGCATGCCTAATTGGAAAGTGGTAGTTGCTTGTATTGCATAACTGGGGGAATACATTTTTTTTTTTCCTGATAGAAGAACTGGGGAATTCTTAATTCATACCCAAGAGTACCAAAGAGTTCATTATTATTCAAAAGTAAATTGGCTGAAATGCTTTTCTTTTCCATCCAAAAAATATGTTGGTCGTCATTCTAGGGGATATGCCAAGCCCGGAGATTATTATTTTCAAGTCTCTAATATATAAACAATGAAAGTACATTGGTTTTGGTTCAAGGAAATTCATTCATTGTATACTTTATTTATGTGCACAAATTTTTCTTTTTTGTTGACTATTTCAGAGTCATTGTCGGAAATTCTTGGCGCGCCATTGTTATTTGAGGGTAAAGAAAGCAGCAGTGACCACACAATGTGCATGGAGAGGAAGGGTTGCACGTAGAGAATTACGAAAGCTCAAAATGGTTATGCCTTTTGATCATTTTTCTCTCTTCATATTTATATTCTCTGATCCTCATGTAATCTATCGATGGAATGCTTGTTATAGTTTATCTTAAAAAGTGTTGCGTTATCTTATTTTCCAATCTGATTTAAACCTAAAGCTCCTGATTCTTTTGCCCTTGGTTTCTGCCCAATGTGAATGTTGATATATAATGTCATTTTTTAATTTTTAATTTTTAATTTATTTGATTTTATTTTTTGTTTTATGTTGACGTCATCCGTATCTTTTTGCAGGCTGCTAAGGAGACTGGTGCTCTACAAGCTGCCAAAAACAAGCTGGAAAAGCAAGTTGAGGAATTGACCTGGCGTCTGCAGTTGGAGAAACGGATGAGGGTAAGATTCCTTTCTTTCTTATATAGGGAAACAATCTGTTATTTTCTAGCTTGTATATTCCCAATTTATTGTAAGAGACAACATATATGTAAGATGAGTGTGGCAGTAATGCGTATGTTAGGATGGATGAGTGGCCATACGAGAATGGATCGCATAAGGAATGAATTTATTCATAGTAAAGTAGGTGTAGCACCAATAGAAGATAAGGTGCACGAAGGCCACTTGAGGTGGTACGGGCATGTCCAACGTAGACCGCTAGAAACACCAGTTCGTGATTAGGAGGACATTCTTATACCTAATACTAGGAGAGGGAGGGGTAGACCAAGAATTACATGGACCGAAGTAGTTAGGAATGACATTCTAGATCTAGGCTTTTAGGAAAGTCTAATTTCGAACAAAACTGTGTGGAAAAGTGAAATTCATATAGCCGACCCCAATTAAGATGGGATTAAGGCTTGTTGTTGTTGTTGTATTGTATAAGGACATTGATTGTTTATGTGGTATTTTGGAGAATGCTTTGTTCTATCCAATTTGAGGTGTGGCAGGATTCCATTACTGAATAAGGCTGTTTGTTGTAATAATATCAATATCTTTTTGTTAAAACGATACTTATGAAAAGCTCCAAAGGCGTATATAATTCTTATTCACTTAAACTTCTTTTTCTATTTTTTTTTTTTGGCAAACGATTATCGTATGCTGATTCTTTAATGAAATATCCGTAAACTTCTTTGATTTGGCTATGGCAAAAACTATGGAATCCTCATACCTTTGTCCATTTCCTGGTTGTCAACCTAGTAATTTAATGAGTACCGTTTGATGCAGGCTGACCTTGAAGAAGCTAAAACACAGGAAAATGCAAAACTGCACTCTGCTTTGGAAGAGATGCAACTCCAGTTTAAAGAAACTAAAGAACTGCTTGTTAAGGAACGTGAGGCTGCGAAGAAAGCAGCTGAACACGCTCCTATCATACAAGAGGTTCCAGTTATCGATCATGAAATGATTAATAAGCTTACTTCTGAAAATGAGCAGCTTAAGGTGGGGTTACCAAAATCTCTTTTATTCATGCCCGTTCTCGCATAAGACCTTAGGTTCTTGATAAAGGGCCTTCAATAAAGTTTTACTTACAGATGTTTAAGTTTATTAGTTTATAATCAAAGATATTAAGCTGGCTGTGACACTTTGCAGGCTTTGGTAAATTCACTGGAAAAGAAAATTGATGAAACCGAGAAAAGATTTGAGGAAACTAGTAGGCTTAGCGAAGAAAGGTTAAAGCAGTCTTCAGAGGCAGAGACAAAGATAATTGAACTAAAGACTGCCATGCAAAGGTTCGTCTACATCTATCAAATTGTGCTGAGTTCTATCACTCAATCTTACCTTTGAAATTCATTCTGAATTGAAGAATTTTCCCTATTTTATAAGGTTTTTTTTTAGTTAATCTAAGTAATTTGCCAATTTCTTTTCCAGGCTAGAAGAAAAACTTTCTGACATGGAAACTGAGGACCAAATTTTGCGTCAGCAGACATTGCTTAATTCATCTTCAAGGAGAATGTCTGAACATTTAGGAATTTCAGTAGCTGAGGTATTCATGCTGCAATTTTTTTTGGTTTGTTTTGTTTTTTTTTTTTGCATATTGACCTTTCTTAAAAATGTCTTATTGCTTGTGTTGCTCTCTCATTGTTGCAGCCCAAAGGAAATGGTCATCATGTAAGTGTTCATATAACGTATAATGTACTGTTTGTCTCTTATCATTTTCTTGTATAAGATTCTAAAACCGAGCCTATTTTCTTCAGGAACCACTAAGTGCTATACCCTCAAAAAAGTTTGGCGCATCTGATAGTAAACTGAGAAGATCTCAAATTGAAAGGCAGCATGTATGTGCTTTGCAGAGCGAAGAATAGACCTTCTAATTTATTTATCTTTTCTTTCCTAACCGGTGCAAATAGGTTTTAAATTGCTCAATCAAGTACTGAGGTATTTTGCATGCAAGGCGTAAGCCTCTGAATAAGACGATAAAGATAATTTTCTCCCTTTGGATTTAGAGATTTCAGTCTCCACTCCACAACAACCACCTCTATAATTTTCAGCAGCAACGTTATTCTTCTTCACTTCTCTAATATTTGTTGTCAGCAGCAACTTGGCTGGCTTTCACTAGGAAAAAAAAAAAAAAGAAAAACATTTTTCTGGGCTTTCCATTTTCAGCAGCAAATTATTGGGCCAAATGAAGATTTTTGTGCTTGGGCTTCTCTTGCCAAAAAAGGAAAAAAAGAAAAGAAAAAAGTGAGGCTTAGCCTCAAGGCTGCCTGGCTGCCTAATGTATGTGAGGCGAAGGGTGAATTAGAGGAATAACACTTTAAGAGAGTTGGTATTGAAATATACCACTTTCCAACAGCATGAGGCGTAAGCCTTTGAGGCATTTTTTGAGCAGCGAGCTTCAAATTGTACAATTTCAAACATCAGGTGCAATTTAAGTAGGTTATATGTCTAATTTTCTTCACTTTCTTGCAGGAGAATGTAGATTCTCTGATCAAATGCGTGTCACAAGATATTGGCTTCAGCGAAGGGAAGCCGGTTGCAGCATTTACCATATACAAATGTCTTCTTCACTGGAAATCATTTGAAGCTGAAAGAACAAGTGTATTTGACCGCCTTATACAGATGATTGGTTCTGCAATAGAGGTAGTTCTATGTGCATTACAAACTTTTCCATTATGACTTGGGTTTATGTTATTGGATCGTAATATTCCAATTGTGGAAATTCAATCTCCATATATGGTATACATCCTTCTCTCTCTCTCTCTCCATGAAAATGTTTAAAGAAAGAGTGAATGTTATAATAAATTGAACGTGTTTTAGAATTTAGAGGTCAGTGCACGCTATTCTGTTCTGGGATAAGATATTAAAATTGTCTTAGATGCTTGTCAGCTAGGGTTTGGTTTACATTTCTAGTTCTCGTTTTGGTTTAAATTATGATTCTGTTTGATTCTGCTATCCACTTTTCAATTGGGATTACCCATACCCAAAAAAGAAGAACCATGAACTGAACTCTTAACAGACAAAACTCTTTGTACTCCATCCTTTTTGCAGGACCAAGATAACAATGATCAAATGGCTTACTGGCTTTCAAACACATCTACATTGCTTTTCATGCTTCAACGAAGTTTAAAAGCTACTGGTACTGCACCACGGAAGCCTCCTACGCCAACATCTTTGTTTGGGCGGATGGCGCAGGTAATTATATACTTATTCCATATAGAACTTATATCTTGTATCTACATGTACTTTGTGGCGATTACTGAAGTTTATGGTTTGTGCATTGGCTGACTTAATACGACTGTTGTTTCTCAGGGCTTCCTCTCATCTTCAGCCAACCTCTTAGTTGGCCCACTTGATGTAGTGCGACAAGTTGAGGCAAAATATCCAGCCTTGCTCTTTAAGCAGCAACTTACTGCATATGTGGAGAAGATATATGGAATCATTCGAGACAATTTAAAAAAGGACTTGTCACCACTGCTTTCTTCTTGTATCCAGGTATAGTTAACACAAAAAATGGTCTATTCTACAAGGGGTTTGTGTTGAATTCCTGCATTCAATTAGTTAGGAATTTTAGGGATTTTTTTTATTTCTTTGGAATAATTTTAGGAGGAGAATTCCGTAATATATTGCCAGATTCTGTTTTTATTCTTTCCTAGTTTAGTGGAGATTGTTTCCTCCTTTACTGCAGTCTAGGATCGTCTCTTAAGGGAAAACTTATTGTATATATTCATTGCATTTTTCATTCTAAAGAATATAGAAAAACAGAGAAATTCATTCTCTTAAAAACCTATATGGTATCAGAGCCTGTCTCTGAAACCTAATTCTCCCTCGTGACCAAGTACGGCGTAGCGACTGAGAGTTCAAGCTTGATATCAGAAGTGAACTCCAGCCCCAAAGTGGCATTGGCCATTAATCATCATGGAGGAGCGGAAGGCACTTCTATTCTCATCACTGGTCACAAACTCAATAGCCACTGTCAGAATATCAGTTGGGAGAAAAGTGATTCTTTCATACGGCAAATAGGTTACAATAGGCTGAGATATATACACGACACTGCACCCTAAAGAATAGGAATGAAATCTCTACAAAATAGGAAACTACCTAAACAGAATATACACTTAACAGAATCTCCTAGAAATCAGGAAATTACACATAATCCTCTACAGTCACACGGTTTCCTAATAAGGCCACTAATTCAACACTCCCCCTCAAGCTGGTGAATGTATATCCTTCATTCCTAGCTGATAAGCCACCGGTGTATTTCACTTACGTGAGGAATAAAAGGCAAGGGCAAAAAGGGAATTCTGTAGAGGGGCTGCCTAATGTGGAGGAATAGCATGTAGGAATAACGGTTTTGGGGGGAAATAAGGGGGATATAAAGGAGTAGAAGTAGATGAGGATTTTTACAAAATTATATTTTGAAGAAATTGGAGAGTCGAGGTCTCTTGAAAACCTGTGTGTGTATATAGTGTCCAGAAAGGTTCTCATTGAATCCTTTCGATAGTAGTTCAATTCAATAATACTTGAGTAATTGCATCTTTACCTATGATTTACCTTTGATCTCGTATCAAATTGGTATCAGAGCACCGATCTTGCGTGAATCGGGATGGCTGCCAGGAAAATGGAGGAGAGACTCGGAACCGTGGAAGAGCAGCTGAGTGCTGTTTGTGAGGGAATTTTGAAGGAAATGGAAGGAGTTAGAGGCGATCTGCAGAAGATTCTTGCACTGGAGAAGAACGTGGCGTTAATTTTAGGGAAATTGGACTCATTGATGCAGAATCATGGAGGAGAAAGTTCGGAGAATAGGGAGACTAGGGCGGAGAACGGAAATGGAGGCGGATCGGCGTACGAGCATCGAGAAGGCGAATTCCGGTTGGGAGGAATGACAAGGCGGATTGAAATGCTGATTTTTGAGGGCACAAATCCAGACGGCTGGATTTTTCGTGCCGAGCGATTCTTTACCCTAAATCGCATGGGAGAAAGGGAGAAATTGGAAGCGGCGGCAATCAGTTTGGACGGCGAGGCCCTGGCCTGGTTCCAGTGGACGGACGGGCGCCGACCAATTCGCGATTGGCTGGAGTTCAAGAAATTCCTGCTCGACCGTTTCCGACCATCGCAGGAGGGGTTGAATTGCGAGAAGTTCCTTGCTCTCCGGCAAGACGGAAATAGTACACGCGTATATTCGAGATTTCGAGATGCTGGCCACACCCTTGTCGGAGATCCTGACGGTGATCCTTGAGGGAAACTTCATCAACGGACTCAAACCAGAGATTAGGGCGGAAATTTGCCTGCTTCAGCCGAGCGGGTTGAATCGAATTATTGAATTGGCTCAGAGGGTGGAAGATAGGAATTTAGCCTTGAGAGGAGCTAAGGGAACGACAACCGGCCCTTGGATGCGACAACAGCCATATACCCAACCTTTTCGAAGCCAATCAACAAATGTCCTCAAGTCAGCCATGCCAAACGACAAGTCGTTTGGTCCTTCCCAAAACGACAAGCCGTTTCAGCCAACAGGTATGCACTCTGTTAGGCGTTTTTTTGAGGTTGAAATCCAAAAAAGAAGGGAAAAAGGCCTCTGTTTTAAATGTGATGACAAATACTTCTTTGGCCATGTCTGTAAGAATAAAGAATTGCCTGATTTTAGAAGAGGAAGAGGAAGTTAATCAAAATGAACAGGAGGAAATTACGGTAGGGAATGAGGAAGAGTTAGTGGAATTGTCTTTGAACTCTGTGGTGGGAATCACCACCCCGAGAACCATGAAGATAAGGGGACAGATTGGTGGTCAAGAGGGGGTGGTCCTCATTGATTCGGGGGCCACTCACAACTTTATTTCCATGGAATTGGTAAGGAAATTAGATTTGCCGTTGACTACAACCCAAGCGTATGGGGTGGTCATGGGTACTAGGAAGGCTGTGAAGGGAAGTGGGGTTTGCAGGGGTTTAGTGTTGGGGCTGCAAGGGGTGGAGGTGGATGAGGGTTTTCTGCCTCTTGAGCTGGGTAGTTCGGATGTCATATTGGGAATGCAATGGCTAGGGTCCCTCGGCAATATGACAGCCAATTGGCAAACTCTAACAATGAAATTCAAGGTGGGGGATATGCCAGTTACTTTACAGGGGGATTCGAGTTTAAGTAGGACGCTGGTTTCCTTGAAATCCATGCTGAAAACGCTCAAGAAAGAAGGAGAGGGGATTTTGGTGGAGTTTGGGTGTGTACAGGTATTGGAGGAAGGAACACAAATGCAAATGGCAGAGGAGATTTCACAAGTATTGCAGCGGTTCACGGCTGTTTTTGAGAAACCGCATAGGCTACCGCCAACTCGGGCTCGTGATCATGCGATTGTGCTTCAAGAAGGTACGTCACCGATTAGAGTACGTCCTTATCGTTACCCACAGGCGCAGAAGGACGAGATTGAGCGCTTGGTTAACGAGATGTTACAGGCGGGCATCATTCAACCCAGTGCCAGCCCTTATTCCAGCCCGGTGCTTTTGGTCAAGAAAAAAGACGGGAGTTGGCGTTTCTGTGTGGACTACCGAGCTTTGAATCGCGCTACCGTTCCTGACCGGTTTCCTATTCCGGTGATAGATGAGTTATTGGACGAGTTGCATGGGGCGAAGATTTTTTCAAAGCTGGATCTTCGTTTTGGATATCACCAAATTATGGTGCGCACCGAGGATGTACCCAAAACGGCCTTTAGAACCCATGAGGGGCATTATGAATTCTTGGTGATGCCATTTGGGTTGACAAATGCCCCTGCCACCTTCCAGGCTCTAATGAATGAGGTGTTTAAGTGTTTTTTGCGGAAGTTTGTGTTGGTGTTTTTTGACGACATTTTGATTTATAGTGCGTCATTAGGAGAACATGTGGAGCATTTGCTTCGGGTTTTTGAGTTGTTGTAGCGGCATAGTTTGAAGGTTAATGACAAAAAATGCTGTTTTGGACAATCCTCTTTGGAGTATTTGGGGCATATTATCTCTGCGGATGGAGTGGCGGCTGATGAGCGGAAGATTGAAGCAATGTTGAAATGGCCAGTACCCAAAACGTTGCGGGAGTTTAGGGGTTTCTTGGGGCTCACGGGTTATTACCGCAAGTTTGTCAAGAACTATGGGATGTTGGCAAGTCCATTGACTGATCAACTAAAAAAGGATCAATTTGGGTGGAATCAAGCGGCGGAGTCGTCGTTCGTGGCCTTGAAAAAGGCTATGACTTCGGTTCCGGTGTTAGCCTTACCGGATTTTTCTCAACCCTTTGTGGTTGAGACGGATGCTTCTGGACATGGGTTAGGAGCTGTGTTAATGCAAAATGGTCGACCAATTGCATTTTACAACCATGTTTTGTCGTCTCGGGGCAGAGCGCGTTCCATTTATGAGCGTGAGTTGATGGCAATCGTCGTAGCGGTGCAAAAGTGGCGACCGTATTTGTTGGGCAGGCGTTTCCTTGTACGAACCGACCAACAGAGTTTGAAATTTTTGTTGGAGCAGCGGTTGGTAAGTATGGAGCATCAAAAATGGATTACTAAGTTGCTGGGGTATGACTTTGACATCCATTATCGGCCGGGATTAGAGAACAAGGCCGCTGATGCGCTTTCTCGCATGGGCAGCGTGTCATCTCTTTGCACGATATCGTGTGTCAAAGGCTGGGATTATGAAGAGCTGCAGCAGCAAGTGCTATTGGATCCTCGGTTGTCTGAGATTTGTCAGGCCTTGTCACACGATCTCACTAGCTACCCTGGTTTCTCTTTGGAGCTGGGTCGGCTTTTGTACAAAGGGCGACTAGTTATTGCCAAGTCCTCTCCGTTTGTGGCCACCTTATTAAAGGAGGCGCATGATGGTCCGGTTGGCGGGCATTTGGGGGTTTTCAAAACCTATCACCGCCTAGCCTCGACTTGGTATTGGGTGGGCATGTTTAAGGATATTAAGGAGTATGTGGGTCGTTGTTCAGTTTGTCAGCGGAACAAGCATTCCAATCTATTGTCTGCGGGGCTTTTGCAACCTCTTCCAGTTCCGGATCAGATTTGGGACGATTTGTCCATGGATTTTATTGAAGGCCTTCCTAAATCTGAGGGCTATGATACTATCATGGTCGTGGTGGATAGATTGAGTAAGTATGCTCATTTCTTGGCACTTCGCCACCCTTTTACAGTCCCGGTTGTGGCCAATCTGTTTATGCGGGAGGTGGTTCGCTTGCATGGGATCCCTCTCTCCATTGTGTCTGACCGCGATAAGGTTTTTTTAAGCGGCTTCTGGACTGAGTTGTTTCGTTTACAGGGGACTTCGCTCAAGCGGAGTACCGCGTATCACCCTTAAACGGACGGACAGTCGGAGGTGGTCAACCGGTGCGTGGAGACGTATTTGCGTTGTTTTGCGTCTGACAAGCCTCGCCAATGGATGCGTTGGTTGGCTTGGGCTGAGTACTGGTATAACACATCGTATCATTCTGCAGCTCATACTACTCCCTTTCGTGTGGTGTATGGTCGCGATCCTCCACCATTGCTTCG